AGAGCACATGACTTGCTCAAGAAGAATCTATATCTGGATCAGGACACTGTCATGTGAATGGAGAATGGGAGCACTGCATGGTTTGGAATTGGTAAGGGAGTGTTTTAGGGGTATATCCTATCTCCATACCTGTTAAATCTATATGCCGAGAAAATTATCCCAGACTCTATTAAGTGGAATGTCACATCAGCATTTGAGGGAGATTCATTAATAACCTGAGTTATGCAGGTGACGCAAGCTTACTTCCTGAAAGTGACAAGGACTTGGGGAACTTGTTGCAGAAGATCAAGAAATGCAGTCTTCTGTATGGATTGTGTCTCAATGTCAAGAAAACAGATTTTTACTACTGGACAACATCATGATGGGTGGAGAGGAGATTGAAACTGTCAACAGCTAAATGTGCAGTTACAGACCTTCCCAAATTATTGAGCAGTAGCAATATCAGTTTGAGGACTCAGGTGCATTTGATTCAGACATGTTTCTAGTTACTAGCTAGGCATCTGAGACCTGGACAGTGAGTAAGAATGACAGAAAAAGAATTGATGCCTTTGAGTTGTGGTGTTGGGGAAGAGCACCGAATATTCTATGGATGTCTAAGAGAATGAATAGATATGTCTTGGAGAGGGTGCACCAAAGTGCCCTTTGAAGGCAAGAATGATGAGGCTTTACCTCATATACTTTGGACATATTTCTAGAAGATGCTATTCCTTGGATAGGGACATCATGTGGGGAAGGGTGGAGGGCCAGTGCAGGAGACAAAGACCCTAAACCAGGTGGATTGACAAGGTGTCTGCTGCAATGGGCTCTTGCGTGAGGACTGGGTTTAGGTCTTTTGTTCATAGAGTCACTACGAGTTGTACTCAACACAATTGCACCTATCAAGAATTTCAAATCTGGTCCACAAATGGCTTCTAATATCTCATAAGATTAACTCAAGGTTGTATTTTAGCTTCTGTGGATTTTATAAAATTTTCTTCAGTTTCTTATGAATTTCATATGAGCTGATTAATCTC